TGTAAATAAAATGGCTCCGTCCGTGTTAAAATATATTTAAAAACAAATTACAAACTAAACATCCTACAGTATTTTTACAGTTAAAGTAAATGTTTATCAAATAAAGTCTAATGTTACAACTAATCGTTGATCCCTTTTAAATATAGTAACAATAAAAATAAACATAGATCAAAATAAAAGTAAGAATAATCATTACTGTAACAGTCTGTCAAGAGGAAATAAGATAAAAATGACAAATAAGGCAAAATACTGTACAGAAAAACAGAAATGAAGGAAAAAACAGTCGTGACAGATTCATGATCTGAGGTGTGCAAAATGAGTCAAACTCAGGGCTGCAGCTGGTTCTGTTGTGAGCTAATAACTGACTCTGTCTGCAGTGTGACGTCGGCACCACGGGACAGAAGTCCATCTCCCGGATCATCGACTACCTGGAGCACTGCTAGAGACACACACACACACACACACACACACACACACACACACACACCTTCATCTTCCTCATCCTCCCGTTAAAGGACCTCCATGTGATCGATAATTTCAGTCCCACTCAGTATTTTAGTTCTGGATCAGTTCTGGTGGACCTCCTCCTCCTGGTGGACCTCCTCCTCCTGGTGGACCTCCTCCTCCTGGTGGACCTCCTCCTCCTGGTGGACCTCCATCCTGGTGGACCTCCATCCTGGTGGATCTCCGTCCTGGTGGACCTCCTCCTCAGCACCAGAGTGAAGACTCCGTCATCAGCAGAACAATCGGAGCCGTTAAAGAACCTTAAATGATTTTATTCTTTAGTCTGTTTGACTCTGTTCTGTTTCTGACCTCCTGGTTCTGAGGACAGGAGGCTTTGTGGGTCAGAACCAGAGGGACGCATCAGAACCTGCAGCATGTTGTCAAGTTAACACCTGGAAATGGGATTGGAGGGGGTCATTTTTATTTTTTATTCTTGCTCATCCTGAGGACCCCAAAACACAAAAACATCTCTGCTTCCTTCAAGAACCGACCCGACCGGGCCAGGGTCCACCGGGTCAGGATCCACTGGGTCAGGATCCACCGGCCCTGTGAACCGGATCGGTTAAATCWGAGCTGGAAGCTCTAAAGTCTCTGCCTGATCTGAACCCGTTTCAGAAATAAATTGTGAAGACTTTTATTTTGAAAAAAAAAAATCTTCCATGTTTTTCATGTTCCTGTAAGATTTCAGTCCTTCAAAAATAAAAGCTCAAGATTTAATTTGTTTTTCAACCCTGAAAACCAGAAACTGTTTTTATTTCTGAGTTTGTTCCTAACGGCTCGTTAAGATGATGTCATCAAAACGAGACGTTAAAGAGTCCAAATCAAACATAAACATTTACTGAAACAAGTTGTTTTCTGCTGAGTCATGTTTAGAGCTCAGTGTTGGGTTGTGTCACACACACACACACACACACACACAGTTCAGAGCTTTATCTCCAGGTGTTTGCAGAAGAAACAGGTTTTTGTACATACTTCTGTAAATACTCTGATTACTTCTGTACGAGGAGAGTACTGGGGGGGGGGGGGGGGGTAAAATAAAGTTTTAGATGTAGACTCTACTTTTCTGAATCTGACTCTATTTTTTTCCTTTTGGAAACTTTTTCCTCCTGGTTGTTGTTGTTTTGGACAGAAAGTTCCTGTTTGTACTGATCTGAGCTGCGTGTTTTTTGGTTACCTGTAAATAATTTAAAATAATAAAAGTTCCTACTTTCAGTAACTCCTCGACTCGTTCTTCTGTTTTTAGATTAAAATAAGTTTTTATTTTAAATTGAGCAACAAGGATTTTCTGTTCGGAAACAAAATCTTTAGTTTTTCTGAATAAAAATATAAAAAATAACAGGAAGTTCATTTGAAACAAATGTTTAAACATTAATTAAGAAACATTAAAAAAGTTTGAGTCTCTAAAAGTTCTGGTTCTGGTTATCTGGTCCTCTCGGGGCCCCGGGCCTCTCCATCGGGCTCCGGTTCCGGGTCTGGTTCCGGTCCGTCCTGCAGCAGCTCGCTCAGGGTGCTGATGTAGATCTGGGCCATCTGCAGGGTCTCGGACTTGGACAGCTTCTTGTCGCTCTCCAGGTTCGGGATGACGCTCCGGAGCCGGTCGAAGGCCACGTTCAGGCCCAGCATCCTCCTCCGCTCGCGCGCGTTGGCGGCCAGCCGCCGCCGCCTCTGCGCGTGCTCCAGCGCGCACCTGTCCGGCTGCAGGTGGCGCAGCGCGCCGCCGGGGGCCCCCAGCCGCAGCTCCGTCAGGGCGCGCGGAGGCTCGTCTCCGGCGCGCTCGGCCTCGGGTCGGTSCGCCTGGTCCGCGGGCCCCTCGGGGGCCGCGGAGATGAAGGACGCGAACAGGCTTTTACGCGGCGGCATCGCTCCTCTTCCTCCTCTTCCTCAGAACCAACAGTCCGGCTCCAGGAGCTCCTGAGGAGGATTTATGGAGCAGAACCTCGGGCACGCGCACTGCGTGCTCCGGGGGCGTGGAGAGGGTCGTGTGCTGCTTAATGAACAGAACCAAAGTCCCTGCAGGAGGTCCATTAACAGGGTTCATCAAAAACGGATTAGAAGCGTCTCAGTGGGTCTCTGTGGACCGGGTCCAGGAGGGAGGAGGGAGGACATGAGGAGATAGGAGAGGAGGAGGAGGAGGA